TATATATATATATATATACATACTTATACTTATATATATATATATATATATAAATTTAACCACTCACACATACACGCCTATATATATATATATATATATCTCTCTCTGTGTGTGTGTGTAGATATATATATATATATATATATATATACATGTATATCTGTGTGTGTGTTTGTGTGTGTGTGTGCGTGTACGTGTGTTTGTGTATATATCTATTATATGTACAAGTTCACGATCAACTATATCGGTTTCAATATAGTACCCATTTTTTTCTAGGCACTTAAACATTAATAGATTTACAATGAATAATAGGCTTCTTGCTATTTGCTTTAATCATACAAATGAAATAATCTTTAAATACAGTCCATTGGCAATACTGTCCTGACTGTAGAACGCATTAATTTGACAAATATCACTGTGAATTCTTTATTTTATTTTCATGTTGGACTGTCCTGCATATTGCACGTTTACTACCAAATTTGTCGTGACACAGACTACTGTGACAAGTTGTATATATAGTAGGTCGCGTGTCGATCTGCATTGCTCGTTGTTCGTTTTCGCGAGCTGGAATTCCACTACACAAGTATGCATCAATTATGCTTGAGAACCGCATTTACTATGCACTGAACTAGACTAGTTGTTAATCACGGAGCAGCTGTGAGCCCAAGTTATTCGCAACTTTCTCGATCTTCAAATCATCAGGATCACAGGTTTGTTCTTAGTTGTGATCCCTAGCCAGTGTAAGGTGTAACTCGGATGCAATCCCACTCACTCCCATTCAGAAGGGTTTTCACATGTTCACAAATATCGCATATCCGAACGATCCGCAAACAATACTCTTATGAATACATGTAGTCGAACTCAAGGCGTGTAAATATACAATACACGTCTGATGGATTAACGGAGCAGGCTGCAACGGCGCTCACAAATTGCGCTGGATGTGTAGAACCTCACCTGTGTGTATCCTCGACGTCCGCGTATGGTACTTGCAATTAGTCAAACATACTCTGTTCACCCCTTCACCAGATTCATTAATATAGCCGAAAAGTAGTTTAGTCCATACCAATGGTTCTCAACCGTTTCCAGACCTTCTGAAGCGATTGATGGATTGTTTACGAATAAATACCGGCAGATGGCTCCTTGTGTGATCAATTCAACATGGAAGATAACCAGAAAGAATATCACCAGGTGCCTGTAGTATTCCAGTTTTACACCGACATCCGCCATTAGCCTGACCACGAGACTATCAGTGCCGCTTCGCAATTCATTAGCAGCGGGATTCTCAGCTTCCCCCTCGGCGAGCTCCTCTTTCTTTGGGTTGTACGCACAGTATAAACTTAAGGCGCAGATAGACGCGACCAGAGCTGTACAGCCAACGCGAATTGGGCAAACCATACTGAGATATAACTCGAGTGTGTGCTAATGTCACGCAATCGTGGGCATCTAACAAGACTGCAAGGTCTTGATACACAACCTTCAGATAAAAATATCACACGAAACGATATAGGATGAAAATAAACGATATTATATCATATATATATTGTGCACACTGCACCATATCACTGCCTATTGCATTTGAATTGCATCGAACCCTCTCTGTCCTCTCTTCTTGGTATCAAAAATAATATTCTGGTGGTTGATCAGCAAATTCAAAGAGGAATGCGCGCCTCGTTATCTTTGTGGGCTTTGGTCCTTAGGCCCTTTGCCTCATTGGCCGGGCTTTGGCCCTTTGCCGCTAATGGTAAATAGTTCAAACTTCTAACGCAAATTTTAAAATTTACAGTGATATTTAGGCCCGTTTATAACTTTTTAAAATAAAATATAATAGAGGGGTTAGAAAGGGTCGAACCTACTATGAGGACAAAAAGTACTATAAGATGAAATAAGTACTAAAATCTGCATCTAAGAACCCTAATATTGCACCCACATCCATCTTACTTGACAAACGCAAAAACAGTTCAACGAAAACGTGAAAGGAATCGTATAGTATCCGTTACAACGTAAAACGTAAAGAAGTTCAGTCTTTGAAGTTTGGGCCTGGGAGTTTGGGGTACACATAAATATTTTGAATACAAATCAATCATTGAATACTCGGCAGAAAATATCTTTTGATTGGTGTATCTAGAATGGCTAATAGGCCATCGTTTTTGTTCGTTTTTATTTCAAGAGAACCTAAACCAAAACAGAAAATGCAATCATAGAAAATTTGGCCTTTTGGGTGAATCCCTGGGCCCCTGGGGGCTGGGGCTGCCTGAGCCCCTGACTCCTGACTGGCTGACTCCCTGATTCCTGACTCTTGAGTCGACCCTCCCCTGGAGCGAGCCGTAAATTCCAAAATAAATTAAAATATGAAAACTGCTCTCTGATCGCTATTGCATTGGGACCAAATTACACCCAAATCGAACCAAGGGTTTGTCATTGACTTTGGTAAAGTTTGCTGGCACATTTCAAATCTCGAGATTGATAATGTGATGCTCAACCCAAGTATCAAATTTTCAAGACCAGATCAAGACCTTATTAGTCGATATTACGTGTGTACACAATCAATGGATGGGTGCAGTATACCTTTATATGTTCGGCTAGGATATTTATATGTGTTTTTTGTCAACCGCTCTTGGCCTTAAGGATACTGTGTGTGTGTTGTGAGCATCTCTTCGATACCAACACACATGGGTCTGCTCGTATGATATAGTTGAATGTAGAAAAATAGAGCATGCATAACACGTATGCATGATATTTATGAATCAGGACACGAAAATACAGCAATGTACGCGTGTCGCCGCTTGTGTAGTACTGCATAGTATTGCCTGACTTTGAAATTGTGTCCAGATTGCGCTGTGGTCCGAGATCAACACTTATCAAATAGAGGATGACCGCTGCGAATAGACAGTTGCACGATAATTGCAACGGCCATAAAACATATTGAATGCTTTAACCTGGAGGTGCGGAATGTGTTTTTGAGAATATAGAAACTACGCGTTCTGCCGTTAGCTGTTTCATGTCGGGCACACCAGCGCTTCATCATTGCGTTTGCTGCCGCATTCTCAACTGTAGCTTCTAAAGGCGTGAGGAAGTATTCAAAGCCATCCTCATATCCCTTATCTGCAACGATTTTTTTCTCCCTTGTCAAGCATATAAACTAGGCAATCTCGCGATAGAGTGATGTCAGCTGTCCCTGCTTCAACCCCCCGCCCCCCCCCCCCTCCCTTGACGAAGCAAATATCCCAGCTCTGATTGAAATTACTAATTCGTATTTATAAGCGGCGTGTCTCGTTTTGTGAGACATCAATGAGGCTCGAAAAGGATGGGCTTCAGGAACATTGCAATCAATTCCGTCCACCGTAACGAACGTATTTGACATCTCATCGGGATCCAACAACAACTTTCGATCTTCCCATACTACCTGTGTGAGATATGTGTTGCAAAGGGTTCAAGTGTTGGTTGCAATAATTCACTGCAGAAAGTACACACGAAGGTTTTGTATGCTGTGAACTATGCAATACACCAGCGGTTTAAATTTTCATAAATGCTAAGTCAATATAGTTGATGTAGGATACACCACTTATTACATGTGGAGATTAAATCTCATCAAAATTTGTTTGTAATTCACAATTCGCAAATAATCGTATCAATATTCACCCAGCTCGACTTGAAGTATAGCCAAAGAACTTTATGCAAGACAATCCTAAATTTGACATCCCGACATCCCGCATGCAAACAAATAAGTTTAAACACACACACTGTCATGTCAACAGGCACCAATTGGTAATCTATAGTATCATGAAACATGAGTATGATTTTCTGCCAAAATCTATCGTGAAGCACGTCTCATGTAGTATCAGTTTGTTTATTGCATTATACTGATGAACTGGTGATATCACACATACCAAACACATACTAAAGTTATAAACACACGCTAACATACGATCCCGGTCAGTCTGGCTATCTGCTCGACGACGTACCAATGCCATTCATTATATGCCTTTGTGGTGACTCTGAATGTTGATGCCCCGACATCATCCTTTGGGTAGCATGCTAAGAAGTGCATACCCATTAACAGATGTGTTGGTGTAGCACGGGTGTGAAGTTGCGTTGTCAGCTTGTCATAAATGATCGTGACTACCAGTGCTGAGGCGCCAAACATTGCCTTGAACTTTCTACCAAATAGACGATCATTTACACGTCTACAATTCGTGTAGCGGAGAGCTGTTTGTTTAATAGTGGTCACAGATGTCATAGTTCAAATAGAGATCCAGACAATGTAGGTGAGAGTCACAACGTATGCACAATTCTGTGTATATCGTATGCATTTAAAACGTAGTCCTGTATCATAAGCCTATGCTTGCTCTGAGGTAAAATGTGATGCAGCGCGTACAAAACTGTCTGAATTTGTAGTATTTATAATTTAGGGGTACGCAGGTCTTGGGGAATTTATGAAGGGAGGTCTGGTCTGAGGATTCGATTTAACTGATGTTAATTATCTCGAATTCCATTGATACAAATTTCAAATTAAACTGATGACACGCAAGTCGCAACTGATGTTCTCCCAAATTTCATTGGTACAAATTACCGCGCCTCGATCTCCTAGTAATCATAAGTCAGTATTGGATTGATTTTTGTGGCCACTTGACTTTTCCTAAGTACAGGGCGTTCAGAGCTTCATAACCTTCAACAATATTCACATTTAAACAGTTGCGCACGCAATATCTTACAAACGCACTCGTGCAAGTTACTGGAACCGTATCCAGCTCAAACGATCCCTGGTCATCAGCATTCGGGTGTGTATCCTTCATCGAGTTATGTTAGTACTAATTGCAAATTCTACAACCATCGTATACGTGCAATACTGCTGTAAGATCACACAACCGTAAAGATTACTAAGGGTTGTGTGTACATGTATACTGATTTGTTGTTGTGATTATTGATTACACTAGTTTTAGGACCATGACACAGAAGTCTTCTAAGCGACAGCCCACTCGGTCAGAGGCAGGTTGCTTTTCGAGAACGGGCCTTCAAGAAAAAATTGCAGAAAACCGTGATGTCCCTTCGGAAGAGGATATTGACGACGACGAGGGTGCGCCGTTTCAGGAAGAAGAAAGTCCAGCCACAACACGATAATCCAAAGACATACAACAACCAGTGCGCACTAAAATGGCAGCAACCAGTGTCAACGGTGTAAAGATTATATCGGGCAAACAAGAGGCCAAAGCGCGCGAGTTTGTGCGCACATCCCTCAAAAATACAGAACTTTCTCTAAATTATAGACTGGTGGAAACCACACATCCGACTACGAAGTATAGAATGGTAGCAGTGAGCATACAATTTATGGCTACGCAGACACTTGCTGATTTCAGCCCTCTGAAGTATAGTCGCAGAGCCACTTCATTTAGCTTCACCCACAAGATTCCCACTGCATTCATAGAGCTGCACAATTACGTCACGCAGGACGATACACCAAGAAAAGAGGTGAGAGCTGCCTTTAAGGCACAGCTCACATTCGTGAATGCAAAACTACGACAGGAAATTTTGGGGGGGCGCGAGTCCATGCGAGCTACAATGAGTGTACAGTTACCATTCAAAGTTATTACTTTACCAAAATGTTTGGACATACAAATACTTCTGAACCCAAAGAAAGAGGAAATCGGCCTGGTTATCACATTCACAGAAGTCGCAGTGGAGAAGGTCGAACAGGCCGACAGGCTTACATCAACTCTCACCCGGCAACACTGATGTTATGAGTGCGCACCCAGCTCTGTACAGAGTAGGGTCATCATGTATAGATACAACTCATTATATAAAGGATACAGACGACTATATGGTGATTATGCATAATGTATACATACAGCTAGGTAACTATTCGACTATAAATTTCAATAAACATAGAAATATGGATTTCAATAAATCACGTGTGTGTGCACATGTTATCATCATTAAGGTACGCCGTATTGAATACGTGCTCCATACTATACAAAACTGTAGAGAACGATATACAGGTTGTCGATGTAGTGCTCCCCTCTAACTGTAGGCTGATCTACATAGAACCGCACAGCTGTACATAACTGTAAGCTACATCATATAAGCTCATCATATATTCTAGCGCCATATCTAACAGGACAACATTCATACTATTTCATAAGCACACAATACGATAGTATACATAAACTCAATAAATAAGTATATGCAATACCAGCTCACGTCATACAAAAAAAATCATACTAACTATACTTCAACGAAGAGATTATTATCCATCATGGCCCCATGTGTACACACATCGCTAGCCTATACATAATGCAACCCTTAAGAGATAATCTGGTAGGTGATTGGAGGGCAGGGCTCTATATCATACTTCCCAATCACTAGTCTGTTTGATGAAGACTTGTCGAATGTGAGCAAATACACACCGTAGTCGCAATGGTGCACGTATACGTATGACTTATGTATCCAACGGTATTGCAGTAGGGAATAACAAGACGTGCATAAACGATCGTATTTAAGTCAGAACAAGGAAGCAACATCTATAGTGGTGACAACTACAGTGAATACTGTCAGAGAATACACATGGGCTATATACGAGCTTTATAGTAAGCTACAACTGAGTTATATGAAAATTTTAAAAACACACCTCTTGAATTATTGCGTACATCACGTGTTTGGTGTTCATTGGACATGCCTTTAGTTGCCATGTATATAGTCATTTTGCGGAGTGCGGAGAGCAATAGAATCGAAACCCCACCGTGAGGGTATCCTTTAGAGTTTATTTACCGATGTTATCGGAGCCCCGGTTGATATAGGTGCTGTAGGTGCGATCTATTAGACACTAAAAATACGGAAAATCGCCGTTTGACGGTGACACGCCCATATATACACCTTATTAATAAAGAGTCCAACCGTAAATTCGACGCTTTCCTCCGACAGTATTGTCGTGTAGGATGTCTAGTTGGGGTATACGGTGGGTTTTACAGTGGAATTGTATATTTTGCTGATAAAACACTGAAACAATTACCTTACCAGGACGCGTTTTGGCGTGTTTTGGCGCGTCTCGCAAGTACGCACGACTGGAGCTTTATGGACACGAATGCCACAACCGAAGCACGCCTAGTGCACACTGAGAATAATTATGGCACATTTCACACCCATATGCCAGAATTGAATGATATATGCCATACAATAAATCTACATGGTCACGCGCGCACAGCCCAACCCAAAACTGAAAACAGAACGTGATGCATTATAGTGTACATGACGGCGCTGCTTCATGTTTGGTTAGGATATTCACTATCTGTAGCAGCACACATCGGCAATACTTGTGCACAGAGACATATTTTTTTATCTCGTAGCTGGTATACGTGATAGATATTGACTTGCAAGGTTCAACTACTAGAGATGCATAGCCGATGGAGCGTGCATGCGATTTCAGTAAGCATAATACTAGATAAGCTCTCCAACACACTATGCACACTTAGCTATATGTGCACTACGAACTGCACGTTCAAACATATGGCTGTCAGTCTAGGTGTATACATATTCATTCGCCGCAAAGATTGAAACCTCAAACACTATGATATACCAGCATATATTTATATAGGGAACGCGACAACAATTGAAAGTGTACATGTTCAAAGGGTGATTTCCTGTGACTTTGATAACATTCACAGCTTGATTTTCATATAAAAGTATAAAAAAACATACCTTAGTGTTGCGCGGAGAGCTCAATTTGTGTCAGAGTACTTCGGTTAGCACGGCAAGGTTTGCCATATGCAGTGCCTTTGAATGACGTATGTATTTATGATATCTCGATACCTCTACGTTTATGTGGTTACAAATCAGCACTGTATTTATATCGACACGCACATCAAAATGTCACGCCTACTAAGCAAAGCAGAGTCTAAACAAAATACATCTCCAATATATGAATATCTATCAGCAAAGGCGAGAACCCAAACACCCGTTGCGACTTGGTTTTTTATACCAAACTCCTACTCGCTTACATCTGCGCTAGAGAGGAAGCAGAGTATGTTTCATGTCACCGAAAGCATGAGTCGTTCCTCCCGGTTGCTGGTTGACACGATGACTACAGCTTCCATCAAAGTCCAAGCAACAGCATAAACAACACCACCTTTCTTCATCTCCTGAGTTTTGTAGTGCTCCGGGCGTGTGTATACGGCGAATGGGAGATCAATCCTCATTGAGCACCATATAGGTGCATCTACTTCCGAAGAGCTCCGAGCCATCTCATTGTCCACGTACACATGAGCCTGAAATATATCGCGCCAGGCTCCGTCCTTATCGTTTGCAGGATGGTGGTTACTCATACTGGCCCATTCACTATCTATCTCATACTCGATAGTGGCCTCATTGGCATTGTCATTCAATTGCATGGCTCGAAAGTTATCCATCGTCATCCCCTACGGCACCATTACGAGCAGCACCAGATCTCGACAGCGGGATTTGGGGTTGTAAAACACAATATGTCGCGTCGCGAGAAATGGCGAAGGTTTTTCCTCTTCGTCCTCACTTTGGCCATCAATGGTATCAACTCCGCGGAATAGAGGCATTGGCTTGGTGTCGGGTCGTTCTGACATGGATGATAGACGTCTCTTGACTTCGTTGCCAGTGTTAATTGCTGGTAATGTAATCGATAGGAAGAAATAGCAATATTGTGTGTGAGAACATCTTTATAGTGTTCACTATACGGACCTACCCGCTGAGGACAAACCCCGATCAGTATAGATGGCCACTCGACATGTAAAGTGCACAGGCACACCTAATTTTACAGTAATACCCTATATATTTTGTCGGATATGGAAAAAAAAAGAACAATTGTGAACCGAATGTTGCAATCGTGTTTCTCTTGGGCATCGAACTATAATGTATGGGTGGAGATACTTGATTGCGTAAGGAATGAAACAAACAGGCTTATATACACGCATTATCGCATTATGTGCCATATAGAGCTGCAAAGTACCCCTAATATATGGCTGTATTTTTGTATATGTTCATGATTTTGAAACCATATTAAGTTTCCGAGGAGACTTGTGTTTCATTACTGATAGACAGGTCAAGCACTATAAATGATCCCGGTAGACAGACAGTAGTGTCTCAAATAAGTGGCACACCGAACTATAGTACAATAGGCCACGATCTCGGATAACGAGCTAGGTGTGTTTGTGTGGTGTCTTCAATTTTCAAGATACATCTCGGATGATAATGTATCGATGTTGTACAATCACCAGTATAAAGAAGGTTATTATAGTCATGTGTACTATACTAAATCGCGATGGTCAATATCATATTACAAGAAGAACTCTGAAGTACATGAATAGACACAATCTGAGTGCACCCACAGTTTGCTATATACATGTATCTCATCGGATAGTCAGTTCAGGCACATACTACTCTAATACATAGCGTATGCATAAATCACCAATATTTAATCTGCAAAAATTTGGTAATTTGAATATACAAGTGTAAAAAATGTCACTATACTAAAATAGTATCACTGTATTTGCCGGACAAAAAGAACATATTTACAACATTGAACTCATACCTGAACAAACGATACGTACAGAGGCGAAAGTATTGTAAGCACATCACTACATTTGTAGCTGGACGTATCTTGTCTGTATATCAAGGGACAAAAGAGTGTGCGTTTGTGTGCAGTGTCGCGGTGTCAATTGTGATGAGTAATATTTCACTTTTCATATTCATTCTAAAGTAAGTGAGCGAGATTTAGATATTCACATCACACTAGGGCATCAGCGAGCACATATTTAGAGTAGAATAAGGATACGTTTATAGTTATTATGCGGAATACTGTAACGATTAGAGTTCACAATATGTAAGTCGCATACAGCAAGTTGTGTGTATTTATGTATTAGGTGCGTTTCGATTACGCACAAGTACAATACAGTGTTGTGTGAGATGCTACTCTAGTATATTGTAAGAAATTTAAAACTCAATTACGTAATTTTTTACTGCAGTAATCACAGAGAGATACAAATCAGTGTCATATTACCACGTAAAATAACAAGACTTGTTGTACAATATTGTCGACTAGTGACTTGAAACGAGTACATGAATACATCTTGTTCCATCAAATCGACGAAAGAGATCTCCACAACGCTGTAAGTTCTCTTGTGGAAATTAAATCAGATAGCACATATGACTATAAATTGTCAGGGTTGTGTCTGAATACACTAAGCATAGTGATGGATATTTGCAGCAGTAACTAGTGCAAGCTGAGTAGTTTATAATCTGCACTTTACAGATCTGCTGTGTGTAGCTATAATCTAAATGAATGTTGATTTAGAGGCGATAAGTTCGTTGATCCCTAGTAACAAGAGCACGCACAGCAGTGACACTAACATCGATGCTATATATATATGAGCATACATATATTCGTGATATTTGTTCAGTAACAGTGTGCCAAGTTTGATTGAATATTGGTTAGTTACGCAGCAGTATGGATCACAAATTCAATTTGTAGAAACACACATATTTGTGGCACTGTGAAAAGACCGAGCATACAATTATCACTGTACAAACTTAATTTTTGAAAAGTCATTACATCAACATACCCTTCTATCGTACCAACTGCATGCCTTGAAACCTTTCGTCTAGATTATCCGAATCCAAGCATCTCAATTCAGAACGTACAGGCAAGGATTCGGTCCCGAGCACCTCGCAATGACTTCAGCATTCCTCGACGATTTTTATATTTGCTGTAAGGGCTGCGTTTGACAAGCTTCTGTAGGTCAACACCGTCATATTCGCCGCCTGGAAGGGTTCCCTCCTTGAAGCGATCGCCGTCCAAGCTCTTGAGTGCCCATCCACACTCACTCGACATGGTGTCATTGATCTCGTGCGTGTCACACTATTAATGCCTCTCCCTACAAAAAAATACCCTGGTGTGGAGTACCTCACTACAATGTTGTATGCTGTTGTATTAGTAATTAGAGGCAAGTGAAATTCAAGTGGTTGCGAGTGTGTATATTATGTGTGTGCTATGTGCACACGTAAGATCGTCGGGGTCCGGGAAACAGGAGTGTAGTAAATATGATTTTTATTTATTTGTGAGAGAGATTAAGATCAAAATCGAATCGCCAAAATAATAATACTCCAAAAATAGGTTGTATTCAGAGTCGGCAAGATATACTCATAATATGAGGGCCCAAGTTGTCCTGGTTTTATGGAAAAAGTAATTAGTGAATACAGTGCCATTCGCCGCACTTGCTAAATTTCCTCTAATAGTCCAATATTTTCGGAGGTTCAGCATCACACCGGGACTGATCGGTTCAGGGAGTTACAATGACACGCTCGAATATTGTCCTTTTTTTATAGCTTTTATTGGCATTTACGGCTCGCTCCTGGGGGGGAGGCCTGGGGCCGGACCGCCGCCGGAGTCACCCGCGAATACACAACAATGGGGGGTTTTTTTAATAAATACATGTATCTAGACTACTAGTTTTAAAATAGCTGTAGTACTAGTCTCTCTCTCTAGAGTAGAGGTCATAGCCATATATATATGTATTTGTTTTTAAAAAAACTTCTGAAAATTGAACACAGAAGCCGTTTTTATTTATTTGGATAAATACAGGCAATTTATTTGCCTCCTATTTGTAGTTCGGGATGTCAGATGTGACACTTGTTACATAGGAGTCGGACGGTCCTGCACTTCGTAATAACCAATTCTGAGTCCCTCGTATACTATACTCGGGCTCAAGGTTGACAAGTTTATTCTTACACTACTATTTAGGTTATCCAGGTTTGAGCTCCGAACCACAGAGGTGGGTACGCTATTTAGTAGGTCAGAAAGCGAATACGTGGCACACTCGATGGTGTCCGTTC